ATCCAGGGACTCCAGGATCATGACCTGAGCCGAAGGCAGTCGCTTAACCAACTGAGCCACCCAGGCGCCCTCTCTCTCTTTTTTTTAATAAAGATTTTATTTATTTATTTGATAGAGATAGAGGGAGAGCACAAGCAGGTGGAGTGGCAGGCAGAGGGAGAGGGAGAAGCAGGCTCCATGCTGAGCAAGGAGCCCGACGTGGGGCTCGATCCCTGGACCCTGGGATCATGACCTGAGCCGAAGGCAGCTGCTTAATCGACTGAGCCACCCAGGCGTCCCTCCCTATCTCTTTATTCACCCTTCTACCCTTCCCTTGTTTAACTGGGTCTAGGCCTCCCTGGCCCCCAGGGAGAGGTAGGCCACAGGTCAAAGGCAAATAAGTAACTAAAAATTAATAAAATTAAGTTTTGGGGGCACCTGGTAGCTCAATCGGTTAAGCATCCGACTCTTGGTTTTTGGCTCAGGTCATGATCTCAGGGTCATGAGATCGAGCCCTGTGTCAGGCTCCTTGCTCAGTGCGGAGTCTGCTTGCTCGCCCTCTGCCCCCCCCCACCCTCGCCAAACAAAGAAATAAAATCTTTTTTAAAAAAATTAGGTTTTAACTTTGGGCCAGCCAAGGGCCTAAGCTCTTGACATTGAATATTGACACAACTGGACAACCAGCCTCTTCATGCCCCTTCCCCCAAGGGCACAGCTCCCCTGGGGCCCAGTCCCTCAGCTACCTGGAATTCTCAAGTAACCAAAATGTCCCTCTCCCTGATTTGCCCAATTCCAGGGACTTTGCTCTACCTGGGTAAGAAGTAGAGAAAAATTACATTAGTCAAGAACATTGATTTTTTTTTTTCCCCAAAAAACAAATACTCTGCAAAACCCCAGGTTTTGAACCAGGTGAAAGCAGGGCTGCCCTGGTTGAGCTGGCGGGTGGAGAACGGAGCCCTGTCTGCTCCCCTCCTGCCCACCAGAGATGCTCAGGCTGCGTGGGGCATGGTTGGAACACAGGCCCTGACGGCCGTCGTCCCCCAGACTGTGTGCACACTGTGTCTAGTGTCCCGCTTCTCCTGAGCAGGCTGAGGGCTGAGCTGCTGTCCCGGTGCCTCAAAGCCGCCCCCCCTGTCCCCTCACAGGCTGACGCCAAGATGGTGTGTGACGTGGTGAGTCGGATGGAAGACACCGAGCCCTTCTCCGCCGAACTGCTTTCCGCCATGATGCGGCTCTGGGGCGACTCAGGAATCCAGGAGTGCTTCAACAGGTCTCGGGAGTATCAGCTCAACGATTCTGCCAAATAGTGAGTGTCTCAGGGCTGGGGCGGCCGCCAGCAGGGCACGGAGGCCAGCGTGGAGGGGGCGGGCGCGCAGGGAGGGGTCCTCGGCTGAGGTCAGAACTGCCACGGGCGGCAGGAAAGGTGTCAGGAAGGAGAGCGGAAGGGCTTCTCCTAGCACCCCCTGGGTAAGGACGGGGCCTGGGAGCCGGAGCCCACAAGAGACAGCTAACAGTAGGGCTCCCAGAGCACGGCGCCCGTCCCCACCTTGCCCTGGACTGGGCCTGGCACCCCAGAATGAGGGTCTTTAGTCTAACAGCTTTTTCCCTCTGGAGAAGCCCTGACCCCACAAGTACAAATCAAGAGCCACATAGGCAGAAAATAGTCGACATGATGCCATTTTTGTTTCATTTTAGAGGAAACACACGTTCTATTCCTCTATCTTGGAATATTTTAAATAAGACTAAGGAAATAAGGAGATAATAGAACGTATCCTTTGATAGTGCGTTATAACCAAATACGGGGAAGGAAAGGAGAGAGGAGAGGAGGAGGAGTGAAGGTGAGGGAAGAGGCTCGGTGGAAGCCAGAGAGGGCTGAAAGGGGGACAAAGGGAGAGGCAGGGGGGCGCCTGGGTGGCTCAGTCGTTAAGCGTCTGCCTTCGGCTCAGGTCATGATCCCAGGGTCCTGGGATCGAG